TACGGCCTTATTCTAGCTAAAATAAAACAAATAAGCCTTTCTCCAGAGGAAAAACTGGGAAATATTTGTTTGGTTTGGTGGTGTTTGACAAGGTGCACGCGACGTGTCTGAAGAGACAGGAGAGATGCTGTGGGGAGGAGTGAGAAGGGTGCGCAATGTATTTGAGGACTGAGAGGGAGATGCGCAATTTCCAGAAGATTATCACTCGTTTGCAGGCATCTGGGAGTCTCTGTGTTTATTTGCAGGAGACCCTGGAAACTTCTGGGAGACTTGGGATGTCTGGAATGACCTCCCGCCCTACTCATATTTCTCTCTTCATATAGCCGTATGCCTATTACATATCCATAAAACTCAGAGACCACCTTATTGGATGCAGATCCGAGCTTGATTAGTGGATTCACAAATGCCTAACGAACCGTGCTAAGTGGGCAAACGAGACAGGGTCCGAAACAAAAGTCTAGGTGTGAAAGCACCCTTAAATTTACAAACCTATTCAGCTAATATATTTGCCAACTACTGATTATTTCATATCTCATATCAGCATTCTTTATACACACATAGCAAGTACATATTGGGCCAAGGACGAATGTAAAATGTATAGTGGTTCAATGGCACGTCTATCATTAAGTAGGGCCCGCCCTCTCTGTGGTAACAGCTCAAGGTCAGCACCTCACGTCACGTGTGATTTCGCGGCCGCGAATACATCATTATATTAAGGCAAAAATGACATTTTTAGGTGAATTATACTTTATAAATACTCATTCTCACTTTTATGGACCCCCGCCTATATGTAAAAGCATATCAGTATTTTCTTCAGAGGCCAATGTGTCCTTGTTCAGCATTTGACATGGTCTCTGTCTGTGTGTGTGTTTTTCAGGAGATGGTTCGGGGGAATCGTTATAAGACTCTGCGTTGGCGCTTTATTGAGTCTCTAGAGCCTCCTCGACTTGTTCAAGCTCGATGTCCTGACATGATCAGCAAAGGCAATCTCTATGGTCAGGTCACTGTCCGCATGCATTCTAGACAGGTGAGTGAGACGCTTTCATGTACAGGCCATGTTATACTTCAAGCTAAATCAAAGAGTAAGCTTAATCACACTGGAGAGCTGCTAAGTAGGACAGTGTTTCCCAACCATGTTCCTGAAGGAACACCAACAGTACATGTTTTGGATGCCTCTCTTATCTGACCCATTCATTTCAGGTTTTGGAGTCTCTTCTAATGTCCTGCTGAGTTGATTCAGGGGTGTTTGATTAGGAAGAGGTTGAAAATGTGTATTGTTGGTGTGCCTTCTGGAACAGGGTTGGGAAACATTGAATTAAGATATATTGAAGCTGTGTGAGTTCTGTTATAAAGCAACATTGGGTCTCTTAGCATTAATGCTGCTTGCTTTTTAAGCAGTCTATTATATATTGTAGTGCTGAATTGCATAGTTTGTGCAAATATGTCTGATCATAGTTATTTGGATGCTTTCTTTAAAGGGTTATGAACTAAAAAACAATTTGGTTTAATTCTCATTAATACAGTAGGGGAAATGAGTATTCAACATGTGGAATGCAGGCATTTTTCTCAAAAAACATTTGTAAAGATGCTGTTTACTTTAAATTTTTGCCAGATGTTGTTTACCACCAAAGAAATCCATATATGCAAAGAAAACAAATGTAAGGTGTAGAAATCTGAGCTGTAGAAAGGCAGGGAAAGCCCAGACAGCAGCTGATATCTCTCTAAATGTCTTCAGCAGCCCTCTGCCCTTCATTATTCATTTATTCATGGTGATCAAGGAGAATGAAGATAATGACAGATATTCTGCTCCAAAATAACATTGGGACTTGGGAATGCTATATTGTTAGACTGCCCACTGTTCAAATTACACCAGACCTTTACTGACCGCTACATGTTTTATTTGGAAATGTATTCCCGCACCGCAAGAATTCTGGTCGGGTCCAGACCTCTAGTTTTTGGTCCGTATTCCCCAACCCTGTTCCTAAAGGCACACCAACAGTACTCATTTTCAACCACTTCCTAATCAAACACCCCTGAATCAACTCATCAGAACATTAGAAGAGACTCTGAAACCTCAAATGAATGGTTCAGATGAGGGAGACATCCAAAATATGTAGTGTTGGTGTGCATCCAGGAACAGGGTTGGGAAACGGATTTAGGCTCTAAATTATTTTACATTTTTTCTTCACTTTCTGTAAAATAATAATACATTTAACCATTTTTCCTTCTTGTTTTGGAATGTTTAGCATTTTCAGTGCATTTGCATGGATTGAAAAGTTATTAGAAGGATTTTGAGCTTAACTTACAGTTTTCACCCCTGCGTACTTCTAAACCTCACTTTCACCAGATTTGCTGGCATTATACTGTTTGCTAACACTAAACACTTCAAACAAACACATACTTCATTTTAAAAGTGTTAATTTTTAAAGAAGGACAGAGAGCTTCGCCATGAGTTTGAGTCTTAGAAATGCAATTTTTCTGAGTTCTCTCCTCGTGATGCTAATTTCATCACGCCATCTTTCAGACGCTGGCCATCTATGACCGTTTTGGCCGGCTGATGCTCGGAGATGAGGAAGAGCCCAGAGATGTCCTGGAGTATCTGGTGATGGAGAGACATCTGGTGAATCCTTACGGGCGCTGGAGGCTTCATGGCAAGATTGTTCCAGCATGGGCTCCACCAAAAGATCCCATTATTAAGGTGGAGTTTTCCGTCTTTGTATTTTTTATTATTGAATTTGTGATGTTAAGGACTACATGTTTCATATCATTTTTATCATTACTTGAATTAATTTCTGATTTCAACAGACCGTTATGATCCCTGGACCCAAGCTGAAGTCCGGTGAACAGTTTGAAGATCTGAATTATCAGATACCGAAGCCAAATGCAGTTCAGTGGCATAAATAATGCCTGTACAGATCAATTCCCAGTTATCAAAATAAATAATGCTGTATTTATAACACCTCTTCAGTTTGTTTTCCATCTGCACTTGGACACATTGAATATGTTTTTACATCGTGTTCAACATTTCCATCATGCATGAAAATCAACAGCGCGGAGTTGAAATGTTTATTTCAGAATGCTCAACTCACAGAATATAAAAATAAAGTGTCGGTTTTTACACTGAAAGAAGTTAATGGAAACTTCCTTTTGGTTATTGTTAAAAATTGACTGTTGGTTCTTACAAAAAAAAAATTGCAATACAAAAGCATAGTGTTCATGGTTACTTCCTGCTTTGAAAAGCTAACATTACAAGTACATTCAAAATGACAATAACTGAAACTCAAACATCTAACTCTGGTGGGATTTATTAGTGCAGTCTAACGATCGCCTTTGCTAAAGTCTGTAATTATTTGTTAGAAGAAGCAAATAAATAGGCTGAATTAAACAGTAACACTTAAATTTGATGGTCCATTTGAGTAACAGTAGACTGTCTGCTTAATATCTGCTGATACTGCTCCAACAGACATTTTACTGACTATAGGAAACTTTGCAGGTACATGTCAACTTACACTAAACCTAACCTAACCGTCTACATATAATCTAATGAGAATTAGTTGGCATGTAGATGCAATGTAACTTAAATTCAACAAACTGATCATCAAGATAAAGTGTGACCAATTAAACATGTACACAATGATTTGTTTTGGAAACCCTTAACATTTCGTTTCACATGCTCACACAAGGGGCCTTAAAACTCTACAAAAAAGAATGAAATAATAAAAAAAAACTCATATTTACAGCTTATTAATGGCCATCCAAGAGATTATCCTGGTCCCGCTTTGTTATTGTACATGTTATGGTGTAAATGTTATGCAGTGAACAAGTAAACTGAGTTCTAGTCTTAAACCTCATGACCTTACTTGATTTGTGAACTAATTTGTACTGAAAAGTGCTGTAAACAATTATTAAATCACAACTGGTTCATTACAAACCCAGGGCTCACAAATTGTGGTCGCCCAAAGTACTGGGGCTATCATTTTTCAGTTGGACTACCAAAATCTATATAATCTAATCTATCTAATTGCCCAGCAGGCTATGTAGGTATCTATCTGGCTGGCCACTGCAATAGCCCCGGGACTTCAGGCTGTCAGCTTTTGTGATCCCTGAAATGAAGGTCCAAAATGTAGTTTGCCTGTACCACTCTGAAATCTGGACTTAATTAGAACTTATAGCTTAAGCGGCTTTGACATAATCTACATTGTAAAAGCGCTAAAGAAATAAACAAGAACTGAACTGAATGTCACTTTATAGGGGGAATTTCACCTAAAAATTATTTTTAAAAATCGTCATTTACTCACCCATCTCTTGTTCCAAACCTGACTGATTTCTTTTCCTACTGTCGAACACAAAAGAAGATATTTTGAAAAATGTTGGCAACTGGTACCCATGGACTTCCATAATATTAGTTTTTTTCTGCTCTTAAACACTCTTGATTTCCAGTATGATTCTTATGCCTGCCTTGATCTGAATACAGGTCAAACGTATAGCATTTATATAGTTGTATTTAAAAGTGGAATTGTTGGTCTAAAAGTACGGTAGACACTAAAAAGCTGTTTACAACATTGTCATGAACATTATCCAGGGGTGCGTTTCCGAGAACCATCATTAGCCAACTAAGATGCCAAGTTGTGTGTTTACAAACATAGTCCTTGATTTGGCGTTTCCCAAATTCATCGTTCCAACGAACATTCGCAAACGTGTATGTTTGCATAGATATTGGTACGTTTGCAACTACACCTCTAGAGCTGTGGTATAAATAATAGTTAATGTCTGTGTTCTATTCCCAGTTATCCTCTAACTCTATTCCCTCAGAACGTTCCAACATTGAAAGTATGAATGATTTAAAAAAAAAAAAAAAGATAACACTGAATCCATCTCTCACGTGTAGTTTACTTACAGGGGATTTTTCACAGTTCAGTTTGAGTGATCTCCTCATCCACCACCAGTGTGCAGCATCCAACTGGTCGACGCAACGGCAGCCATATTACGCCAGACCGTACAACACACACCAGCTGATTGGTGGAGAGGAGACTGAGGGATGAAGACAATTATGATATGGGGATGGTTAGGAGGCCATGATGAACAGAGGGCAGTGAGCAAATTTGGCCAAGATGCAGGGGTTAAACCTAGGGGTGTTCGGTTTCAGGTTTTTTGAGTTGACTGATTCTCGACTCCTAATTTTGGATTCACTTGAAATAGCGACAGCAAAAAATCTGCAGTTTAAATTATCTGCAGTCAAATAGTTATAAGTCTATATTATTTACAACATATTTGAATTGTCTCCAAGATTGCAATGTAATTTAATAAATGATCTAAACTTGTCAAAGTTAAAACATCTTTTTATTATCAACATATTTAATAAAAAGATGTGTAACAGTTAATTAACAAATTAAAAAAAACACCCAAATTGAGCCCAAAAACGATTAAATAAAAATCATTAAATAGCCTAAATATCTTCTGAATATGATGTTTGATAGTTGAATACAGAGTACTGAGTAAACAAAATAATCTGGAGTAGCAGACGGTCTGTGGTTGTTGCTGTATTTGTACAGACGTTTCAAACGATCAATAAACAAAATAGCTTTTTAATTTGATTCAATGACTAATTAAATATTAAACCCACAGATTTTTTTAACTTAAATATTCCATAACAAACCTAAAATAACAAAAGCAGTGTGATAGACTGCCTCAAAGCAGCCTATCATATTATTCTCTCACTCTTAAATGTGTTTTTTTAAAGTCTACTGTTAAATAGCCTGTTCCTTTACTTTGAAATATCGCTGTTTGTTTTGTGCTATTTGTTTATTGTAATTAAATTAGAGTGTGTTAGTGGGACAGCATAAGCCTGAAGAAAAGGAGCGAGTTAGACCTGTTTTTGAACACTTAGCCGTGGCTATATTTTTAATTTAAAAATCCTCTTTTTGAAACTTATTTAGTTTGTTTTGAATTGTATCTTAATTTTAATGCATGCAATTTGTATTCATCTGCAAAATAAACAAGAAGAATAGCCTAAATATTAGAGGTGAAAACAAGTGCGTCTAGGGCAAAAAAACAAAACAGGACGACATGTTTTGTCAATAAATAAATCTAGGCTACTTTTGTCATTATGATTAGTGTTTTTAAAATATTTAATCAATTAATAAATTTATTGTGAAACAGGCAGAGATAGCAACTAATAACATCGTAATTTTACCTGCAGTGCTTATGTAAGATGTCATTCCCCTTTAAATTTAAACAAATGTGCTATATTTCATTTATAACACAGCAAACTTAACATCACAGGCAGATCATCTTTAAAACCAAATCGCAAAAGGTTATAGGAATTTAAAAATGAAACTAATTATTTATGAGTACTTGTGGTTGCGAAATTCAAAATGAATAAGTGTTCACGTAGGTCCATTGAGTCAAGGAATCAACTCTTTTGGAGTCCCCATCTCTAGTTAAACCCCTACTTTTTTCGAAGGACATCCTGGGATTTAAATGACCTCGGTTTAACGCTCATCTGAAAGACGGCTCTCACTGAGAAGTATAGAGTCCCCCCATCAATATACTGGGGCGTTAGGACCCATTCAGACAGCAGGTTGGGCACTTCCTGCTGGTCTCACTAACAACTTCCGAGAGCAATCTAGCTTTCCCATGAGGGCTCACATCCAGGTACTGACCGGGTGCAGCCCTGCTTCGCTTCAGTGGGGGACCATGAGTTGCAGAGAGCTAAAAATTAAAATTAACATGATGATGTATATCTGAGACCATCAAAACGAGTGCATGTTTTTACTACAACTAATATTGGATGTTTTTTTCTTTCATCATTATGGGCGTTTAACGATATAACTTACGTGGTTCAAACAATGTATCTACGACAGAGAAACTATGGTTTTGGGAAACACTCGTCACAACAGTCGCGAGTTATGTTGTTGTTTGGGAAACGCACCCCAGGCCAATTTTTCTCTTCACTTAGTTAATTGGTAGTATTGATGTGATGTTTGTTTGTTTTTTACTGAAAATACATGGAAATAAACCTTCTTAATGTTCCACCAAGGAAATGTTGGTGATGTAGGTTTTACAGACAATATTATCTACACAGCCATATAAACACAAATACACACATAACAATACCAAATAAAATGGGGTTTGTAGTAATGTAAGGCCAGAAGGGAATGCGCACCGGAGAGCAGTTCTGTCCTGATTTCAGTCAGTCTCCAGATACAGTTTATTAAGCTGACTAGGGAGAAAATTGCAATAGCAGGAATCCTTCCTTAAATAACAGTCAGTAAAGCATGCCTACTGCTGTGGAGGAACATTCTGCATAAAGCCCGAATGTAACCAGTGGTCCTTGTTACAATGTCTTCCAAGGTATATAAAGCACAATGATACTTCCCTTGTGGGTTACAGGTCTGGAGGGAAGATGAAGGCCTCTGCAGCAGTTTCTGCATCACCATCATCTTCCTCTGGGATTGTCTCCTCCCAAGTGAAGACATCTAAATTATCATGCATGGTTATAGATTCTTGTCGCCCCCCTTCCATTTCCCAGGGACATAATGCATCACGTCTAGCTAGAGGAGGGTTAACCCGTAACTCTTCTGCAGTCTGTGTGTCTGAAGGGTGTGTTCTGATTGTGTCTAGGACAGTTTGACTTGTGCTGGCTTCTGTTGTTGCTGTTGTTCCCATGTTAGTTTCCCAGGGACAGACAGATTCTTGAGCACTTTCTTGACTTTTTGTTGGGACCGTACGAGGGGAGTCTTGTGGCACTGATTGAATCGCTGATGTGTTTGATTCCCATGGACAGACATCTGAACAGACACGATCTTGCTTCTGTAAGGTCTTCACTGGCTCATTTTTCTCCCATGGACAAACATCTGAAAGAACACTGTCTTGTTTCTGCAAGGCCTTTTCAGGCTCTTCTGTCTCCCATGGACAAACTTCTGCATGGACACTTTCTTGTTTCTGCAAGGTCTTGACTGGCTCTTCTGTCTCCCATGGACATACATTTGTACGGACACTGTCTTGTTTCTGTATGGTCTTAACAGACTTGCTTGTCTCCCAAGGACAAACATTTGTACAGACACTGTCTTGCTTCTGCAAGGACTTTACCGTCTCTTCTGTCTCCCATGGACAAACATTTGTACGGACACTATCCTGTTTCTGCAAGGTCTTGACTGGCTCTTCTGTCTCCCATGGACAAACATCTGTACGGACACTATCTTGTTTCTGTAAGGTTTTTACCTGGTCTTCTGTCTCCCATGGACAAACATTTGTACGGACACTATCTTGTTTCGGCAAGGTCTTGACAGATTCTTCTGTTTCCCATGGACAAACATTTGTACGGACACTATCTTGTTTCTGCAAGGTCTTGACAGATTCTTCTGTTTCCCATGGACAAACATCTGTACGGACACTATCTTGTTTCTGTAAGGTTTTTACCCCGTCTTCTGTCTCCCATGGACAAACATTTGTACGGACACTATCTTGTTTCTGCAAAGTCTTCACTGACTCTTGTGTCTCCCATGGACAGACATTTCTACTGATACTATCTTGTTTCTGCATGGTCTTAACAGACTCGCTTGTTTCCCATGGACAGACATTTGCATATACACTTTCTTGTTTTTGATGTACTTTTGCTGACCCCTTGATTGTAGCACTTTCCCTCTCTTCTGACTTTTCAGAATCCCCTGCCTCCCACGGACAAACAGTTGCTTTTTTAGTCATTGAGGGTTTTGAATTGTCTTTTGTATTTGGCTCTAAATCCCAAGGACATACATCAGTTACAGGTGGGGGTGGTTCAGGAAAATCACTTTCTTCTTGCTTCAGTGTTTTACTTGTTTCCATAAATCCTCTTTTCTGAGCCGATTCTTGTTCCAACCGACACTCTCTGGTATTAACATAAATAACCCTTTCACCAGGCTTTGTCTCATTGGACATTTTTATGGATCCTTGTTTGACCTTGGGTATATTTGTATCTGATACATCAGAAGGGGATGTTTCAGGCTTCACTTTTACCTGCTTCTGGATGTCTCCAGGCATGGGTACTTCAACAGTGGTATTGCATATTGTGTCTTCAGTAACCCTTGATGAGTCTGTTTCCCAAGGACAGACATCAGTTTGCATGTTTTTGGTTTGCAATTGCTCGACTTCCACAACCTCCCAAGGACAGACTTCAGACATGCTACTTTGATGAAAAGGTTTTGGGACATCCCATGGACACACTTCTGTATTAGGAACAACTAATAATGACTTAAGTTGTAGCTCAGATGGCTTTAAACCATCGTTACTTGCTGTCACAGTCAATTCTTTCTTGTCACTCAGTTGTCTTTGTAATGCTATATCATTCTGCTTTTTGACCTCCAAGATCACCTCCTCTGACTCCCATGGGCAGACGTGAACTGGAGCAGTATGCTTGGGGCTCCTTTCGGGAGAATCATTTGATGGCAGCCGTACAGCTGTTTGTTTCACAAGGGAAGGTTTTGTTCCTATAGTAGTCATAGCCCGTCTTTGTGTCTGTGGGGTACGTTTGTCTGAAGCTGCACTGCCTGGAGATAATCTCATGGATGTAGACTGAGATTTTTGTAGTGTTCCCTCCCTAACGTTACTTTCTTGTAGGCTTTTCTCTCTGCTCATGCTTCTTGCAAGTTCCCCAACACCCTTTGCTGCAAGGAGATTTTGTGTAGTGGAGCGGAAAGAGAAAACCCGAAATTCTTTTGGCTTGCCAGAAACTGTATGTGGTGACCCAGGAGCACTACAAGATATTGGAGGTTTGGGTTTTGTGGAATCAACTTCTGACTGAATACCATTCCCAGTTTCAATTGCAGGGGGAGAAGGAGGTGGCAGGTATTCCCACGGACAAACGTATAACAATGTTGGTGATGACAGAGCACCAGGCGATTTTGGTTCTTCCTGTGTTGAGATGGAATATGTGACATGTTTTAGATTTTTGGTTGCAGGGAGCTCCTCTGGAACCTCCCATGGGCAGACCTCTGCCTTGTCAAAGGACTCTGACAGCAAGGCACTAGAAGTCTGCCTCTTTATGTCAACATCCACAGTCAGCTTGGGTGGCCTTTCTGCTGGGGTAGGTTTGATAGAAATTGACACATTTTCAATGCTTCTACACGGTGTCACAGAGCGATGGTCATTGCGTTCTATTACACTAAGTGACTTTTGAAACCTGGTGGGCTCGGGAAGTAAAAGGTTAGTATCTAGCGATAGATTGTGGGCACTGGCAGACTTGCAGATCAGCAGTGTTGTATTGATAGATCCTGCATCAGAATGCTGTGAGTGCCTCTTTTCTGTTGATCTTTTCATGGAGGAGTTTAATAAAGAGGCTTCCTTTTCTGGGGTACAATCATAGGCACTATGGGACTTCCGCAGCTTTGGAGAAGGCTGCATTAAAGTTTCATTTATAGTGTTAATACTTGTGGTTTGATGACATTTGTAATAAGATCCCGATCGTGTTATAGTTCCTATTGCAGCACTGATATCCTTGTCTTCACGGCTACATTGTCTGCTCAAACTTTCTGGGATCTCAGAGATACGTTTTATAATAGATCGTCCAATACTGAGACGAGAGCTACGCTTCTTTGGAAGGTGGGGATTGCTGTTTGCCATCCTCTTGGTCTTGTGGACTTCCAGCTGAGAATACAGTTTCTTCAGCTCATCCTGGTGCAGAGGAGAAAAAGGGTTTCAGTTGAGGAAAGTTATAGGGAGCAATATAGTAGGACAGCTTTTGTGATGGCATGTACTATACAAACAAGATGTTCAAAAGACAACGAGTTTTAGGGTCATACTTCAAAACAGGGCAAATTAAGGCAGAGGAGGAGGAGAAGGCTAACACAAGGTCATTTGGTTCTACTGTTTTCAATAATAGAGTTGTCAAAGGCTCTCAGGAGCTCATGTTGGCTCTTGGGGAAGTCTGACCAAGTTCATGTCCCAATCCTGTTACCCCTCTCTTTCCCCTCACTTCCTTGCTACACTATTTCCCATTTGTTGCTCGTAGTTTAGACTGTTTATTTTTATTATTCACCTCAATAAAAGGTGATATCTCTGTTATTAACAGAAGTGTGCTTTTCAATAAGGAAGTGTGAGCACGCGTGTGCTAAAAGGGCAGTTTCAGGCCAAGATGTTTTACCCGAATGTCATCAGGGTCCAAACTTTGGTCACTCCAGCAGTTCGAGGTGAAGCTACTGTTGAGGTAAGAACACGAACGTCGCAAGTCCACCTCATCCTCATATACCTCTGCCGCTATTTCTTCTCTGCCTGGTTGTGACATATGGAGAAACTGCAACAAATAACAATCCTGATTTGTACATGGGACACAAAACATCCTACTGCATGTTAAAAGCTTCTACTTTGCATACTTGCTATTTTACTTTTTAAGAGTAAAACCCTTTTCTTCTAGTACACAAATGGTATTGAGCAATATTAGCCCTAGAGAATGCTTCAATGCAAAGTTTTAAAAATAACCAGCAAAATGCACATCCAAACAACTTTTTGCTTACTAATTTGAATAAACTAGAATTTCAGAATAAAATACAACACATATTTTTGCCATGGTTTCAGTAAGCAAGAAATTTTGATTTTGTTGTAGGAATAACACTATGCTTGTTTTTTCAGGAAGTCATTTTTTTGCATTCCTGCGTGTCAGCCACTATACACTACCTGACAACCAAGACGTACCTAAAGTCTTGTCATTGATCCAAGTTGTAAAAGCAACAAATAATAACTTGACTTCTAGTAGATCATTTGGAAAAGTGTCAGAAGGTTGATTTTTTCCGATGAATCATCTGTTAAACTGCATCCCACTTATCACAAATACTGCAGACGACCTATTGGAACCAGCATGGACCCAAGATCCTCACAGAAATCAGTTAGGTTTGCTGAAGGAAAAATCTTGTTTTGGGGTTACATTCAGTATGGGGGCATGCAAGAGATTTGCAGAGTGGATGGCAACATCAACACCCTAAGATATCAGGAAATTTGTGCTGCGCAATACATTACAAACCACATGAGAGGGCAAGTTCTTCAGCAGGATAGCGCTCCTTCTCATACTTTAGCCTCCACATCAAAGTTCCTGAAAGCAAAGATGGTCAAGGTGCTCCAAGATTGGCTGGCCTACTCACCAGACATGAACAATTTTGAGCATGTCTGGAATAAGGAGGAGGCATTGAAGATGAATCCAAAGAACACTGAAGAACTCTGGGAGTCCTTCAAGAATGCTTTCTTTGTCATTCCAGATGACTTTATTAATAAGTTATTTGAGTCATTGCAGAGATGTATGGATGCAGTCCTCCAAGCTCAAGGGAGTCAAACCCAATATTAATTATTTTTCCACTGCACCATGACTTTATCTTTCATACTGTACATTATTTATGTTAAGTGGCAAGATTTTTGTCAAAGCTAAGTCAGACCTTACTGTTTTAATTAAATCATTTAAAATCAAGCCATGATCATATTTTAATTTGTTAAAATAAGCGTAATCTACAGGCATTTGCCTTTCATATTAGCCATTTATGAACCAAATTATCAACTAGAAGTCAATTTATTGTTCCTAAAACTTGGATAGGCGACAAGAATTTTGTCAGGTGGTGTATCACACAGTTCTGAGAAAAAAAAGGATCTCAATAAACTTTTTTATTTTTTATTCAGTGGCAGAAACACATTGACATCAGCTTAGGCATGCCAGACCAGAAGTTGATGTCACATTGTAAAGAAGCATTGTGCTTCTGTGCAAACATGCTACTGTTGTTTTAGAATAGCTCGTTTGTTGTTTTAAGGAGAATATGTCATGTCCAACTGAGCCAGGTTACTCTCAAGTTTTTTTTTTTTCGTCAATTAGTGAAGCTTGTTCCTCGCCCTTGTTACCACATGCTTGGTTTGGGATTTGTGGATCTGCACATCGATGGATTTTCTCTTCAGTGTTTGGACTCTTAGCAGTAAAATTAAACCACACTGAACTGTCCTGAACTGAATTTAATCTCTGAAAACTGACCTGACGCAGTTTCAATTTACTAGAACTTCTATGTTAAGCTGCTTTGACACAATCTACATTGTAAAAGGGCCATAGTTGTCAAGCACTTTTAGGTAATGTGCAATTTCACAAAAATCTTTTTTTTTTTTTTTTTCGTGTTAAAAACCTCATAAACCAGCAGTTACTGAGACTTTCATTTCCATATGTTAATATACTTCCAACTGAAATGGAGAATTAAGTAGGGGATGGGGCTTTTTATGTGTGTTCTTTCATAGCAAACAAACAGTAAGAGGGGGATGGTTAAGAATATTGTGGCTGAAGCCGTCAAACTGACATCCACAGAGAAGGATCGCATTCTTCCAAATGCATAAGCAGATGCTCAGACTTTGAAGATTACCAAAACAAACTTTTTTTCAGTGGATTAACTTGAACGGATTAATCGTTCACCTAAAGAATAACAATGTGTGTCAGCAATTAATTTTTGTACTTCTTGATTTCACACAAGCACAAGATGATAATCGTATACTAAAGAAAATAACTGAAGATTTACTTTAAAAATCCTTGTAACAATTTAAATGTTACAGATCGTGTAGCATAAATCTTATATTTGGTACAATTTACTTGTTGATATTATGTAAAGTTTACTTAATGTTTAACCTAACTAAACTAAGGTAAAGTTAATTTATTTAAATTAATCAAGTAATGTACAGTTCTTGTTTTAGAAGGAACGTTGCGTTAATCAAATTAATCTTATAGTTACAAATTAGCACATTTGGTGTAACAAAGTTTAATTAAGAATGTATTTCCACTGACCTCAAATGTGTAATTTCACATTATTTTAAGCTAAATTAACCCAAGAGCAAATTTTGTTTAAAAATGCTTACTGGGTGAAGTGTCAAACAAAACTGCCAAGACCCTAAGCACAAGTGCTACTCTTCTGCAAGGTGGTAACGTTAAAACTAACAAACTTACTCAACACTTTTCTTTCTCAACCACACATCCATTATGACATATCTATTTTAAACTTTACTTAATATTACTAAGTTTGCAATGATCAAAGCTATTTAAATATTACAAGTAAATTAATATGATAATATTAACTCTTTCTACTCATTTATCGCATCATTAAATGTGTAAATATTAAATATACAAATTTATTATGACAATAAATTTATTAGATTTTACTACACCAAAAAGTCATTTCTTTCAGTGTATTGTTTTCAAAAATTGACACTTTGACACGTGTAACCTATTAAAACCGAACCATTCCTTTTAATGCCAATAATATTGTGAGAAACTTATCTTTAGCTAATTTTATAAAAAAATCATTTAATCTACTGCAGGGAATTCAAACTCAGTTCCTGGATCCCTGCAGAGTTTAATTCCAACCTTTACCCAAGACTTAAACCATGCAGTTTTTGATAAAGCCTGGAGGACACCTTTAACTAACTACAATCGAATAATATTAAAAAGGATTATCAATACCTTGGGTACAAACAGCAGGCCGAGTGTAACAGTAATAGTGACATGCGTGTGAGTGAAGAACAGCAAGAGCATCCAGTCAGGATGAATTGACGGTCTGGCAAATCTGAAATGACAAAGTCATCAATAGAATAAACTCTTAGAATTAGCTGAAAAGGGATATTTCACCCCAAAAAAAACAAAAAACTATTTGCCATCATTTAAGGCAGGGGTCACTAACCTCAGTCCTGGAGGACCGGTGTCCCTGCAGGGTTTAGCTCCAACTTGCCTCAACACGCCTGCCTGGATGTTTCAAGTATACCTAGTAAGACCTTGATTAGCTTGTTCAGGTGTGTTTGATTAGGGTTGGAGGTAAAATCTGCAGGACACCGGCCGTCCAGGAACAAGTTTGGTGATCCCTGATTTAAAACCTTGATGTTCTTCAAACAAAGTTCTTTTTCATTTTTCGTTTGAGGCCAAAAACAAGTTTGAATGTGACTATACTGTTTTCAAACCTTCTG